CCCTCCTCTCTGTCCCCGTCTCTAATGATGTCGAGGGTTCCTGGGAGTTCCTCCTCTCCGTCCCTGTCTCTAATGATGTGGGGGGTTCCTGGGAGTCCCTCCTCTCCGTCCCCGTCTCTAATGATGTCGAGGGTTCCTGGGAGTTCCTCCTCTCTGTCCCCATCTCTAATGATGTCGAGGGTTCCTGGGAGTTCCTCCTCTCCGTCCCCGTCTCTAATGATGTCGAGGGTTCCCGGGAGCCCCTCCTCTCCGTCCCTGTCTCTAATGATGTGGGGGGTTCCTGGGAGTCCCTCCTCTCCGTCCCTGACTCTAATGATGTGGGGGGTTCCTGGGAGTTCCTCCTCTCTATCCCCATCTCTATTGATGTCAGGGGTTCCTGGGAGTCCTTCCTCTCCGTCCTCATCTCTAATGATGTGGGGGGTTCCCGGGAGCCCCTCCTCTCCGTCCTCATCTCTAATGATGTCAGGGGTTCCTGGGAGTCCCTCCTCTCCGTCCCCGTCTCTAATGATGTGGGGGGTTCCTGGGAGCTCCTCCTGTCCATCCACGTCTCACCTGAGAACAGGACACACCTTTGCAGATCCCAGGGGAAGCACTTTGAAAACAAGACACCTTCTAGTGGGAATGGTCTATATTCTACTCTCTCTGTTCAATCTACAAGATGAGAGTGTTACTCTTAAGTTTAAAAATTAATTAACAGTATAGCACCATGTAGCATTTACTTAGGAAAAAAAGTTTACAATTGTGAAATGATGTAATTTTCAAACCAATATATTGTTTTTTCCCCTGATGCTCAGATTTTGAGTGTCATCCTCTGATGATTGATTTGAGGAACCCTGTGAAAGTGAATAGTTGGTGGTGGGGTCCTATGTATAGTAAATAAATATTCATGAAGAAGAAAGGCAAAAGTGGACCAGCATTTACTTTAGATCTCATGTTCACAATGGCAGTGTGAATAACGAGGGATCTTAGGACTGTGTGTGGCTGGACCTGCCAGACCTGGGCCCAAGAAGACTTAAAATATTTTTTGTTTAGTTAAATAAGGGTAGTTTTTATAAAAATGCTATCTGTTATATTTGTCTTTACCAACTGACATCACGAATCTGTGTGGTCACCAGCCACAAGATGTAGATGTGCGTCGTGTCTCCGTAGGGGCTCCCTAAGACGCAGTTAAATAATGGACAGACTTACTGGACTAGTTACAGTACCAAGAACAGTGATGACAATGACAATGGCGGAAAGAACCAGAGCAGCTTATAGATTATCTGTGCTAAATGCTTTGTCTGACATTCGGTATCTCAGTTGGCCTGATTGCAAGTCTAAGGGACAGGTACTGTTTTAGAAAAAAATAGGTTGATTGAGATATATTTTGCCCCTAAATTAATTAACTAACTCTATTGATGAACTCCAATGGAGTTTCACCATTTAAAAAGTATAATTTGGTAGTCTTTAGTATATTCACAGAATTGTACAAATATCAGCAGAATCTAATTGGAGACATTTATATTACCTCAAAAAGAAACCCTCACCATCA